CGTCTTTCACCACCACCACCCACCCACCCGCCATTTGCCACCACTTCCCATCGCCGTCTTTTGCTACCATCACCCACCACCTGCCACCATTTTTCACCACCGTCTTTCGCCACCACCACCCGTTACCACTTTCCACCACCGTCTTCCGCTGCCACCACCCGTCACCCGCCACCACCCGCCACCACTTGCCATTTCTCACTATTTTTTATATTTTTAATTTTTTTTTAAACATTTTGTCTAAACCAAACGCGTTTGTAGTCTATGTTTTTCTAAAAATAAACAAAACCAGTTTATAAATTTTTTGTAAATATAAATTGAAAACGTAAACGTTATCAAACAGGCCCTTAGTAAGTAGTTTATTAGTTATCCAATTTGTTGTGTAATAATTAGACTAATTAGTTTAATTAGATTAGTTAGCTTAGCTTAGCTTAGATTAGTTTAGCTCATTTATTCGGACCCTCCTTCGCGAGGGCGTATTGTTGTAATAAGTGTATGTGTATGTGTGTGTGTGTGTGTACATGTCTTCCAATTCCATTTCTTTCTCCCTTTTACTTAACCGCTTTCGATGGTTAGTTTTAGGATCATTTTCGATTAGCATACCTTATGCTTTGCATACGTGCATCATTCATTTGTCTTGCATGCACTGGGCTTGGCGTATCATTCAAACTACATTATATTTCAATACCTATTTGAATACGTGTATCAAACTGTTGCATTCATATACCATCTTAGATAGCTGAGCCTATTTAATTGTATTATTGCATGTGTTGCATTAGACATCTTAAACATAGTTAGGATCATACATTGTTTCTAACTAGTTTTCTGTTTTGGCTCAGAGTACATTGTAAGTGTCACGCTTTAGCATATTTGCATGAGTGTGAGTGTTGCCATGATAGCATGCTTGCCATGAGGCTATTTGCTTAAATGCTAAACTGCATGAATGCCCATGGGTGAAGGCTTGATTGCCTGAATTGGAACAACTCGATGATTGTGAGTTTTAAGCCCACTTTGTGAAGTGGCAAAATCATGTTTTCAAACCCACTTAAGGGTAGCAAATCCGCGCTTTAGCCTACTTGCGAGTAGCACTTTCAAACCATTTTTGAAAACAAACATGAGTTGTTTTGTTCCAATTCTCGTGATCAAGTCTATACTTGTATGCTGTGCGTATGACATAGTAAAGTTAGCTAATAACCGGAATAAGACTGTATTGCCCTATATATGTATGTAGGTGATTTCGAGGATCCTGTTTTGGATAAGAGGCCAAGCTAGAAGTCTTTTTATTTATTTATTTATTTTTCTACTTTTGGGAGCGAGCTTTTGGATGAGGATCTTATGTTAGAACTTTGCTTTTTGTCAGTTGTACATTTGTAAATATTGTCTTTCCCTTTTTGATGTAAAGTTGTAACAGGTAAAGATAAATAAATAAAGTTGTTTGTATGTTCGTGTGATCTAAGCACAGTTCTGGATGGACTCTTAGTAATTAATGGACTTTAGTTGATTTTCTGCTTAAGCCCCAATGTTTTTAGTCTAACCTCGTTCTGTCTTGCTAGGCCTTCGGCAGTCAAGCACTACTGGCTGGTCATGGCTACCATCCTGTTTGGGGTGGGATGGGGACGTGGCAGGCGTATCCAGGTGGATTTCTATTGTTCTATTTGAGAAAGAGAGAAGGAGCATGTCTTTCACTTAGCTGCTTCTTGTTCGTTGGCTGCATTGTTTGGTTTGTTTCTCCCCCTCCAGGTTGATGTTTCATCATTAGACTAGAGTTGTTTTGTTCATTGGTGGCGGGCTGCGTCTAAGAGATGAGATTGTCAAGCACTGGCTATATCTATTATTTCAGGATTGCGACAAAACTCATTTTTCAGAGGTTAAATGTGATCCGATTCATTTGCTAAATGTGGCGATGAAGCGGGCATTTGATTTTTGGGATGCCAACAGTGCTAATCAGCGAGTTGCAGAGAGTGTTGGTTTAGAGTTTACGGCTTCGGTTGTTAGGTGGCAGGTGCCGTGCTTGGGGTGGATGAAGATAAACTTTGATAGGACCTGGTTTGGATTAGCGGCAAGGAGTGAGGTGCAGTGGCGCATGCATTTGATGGGACTTTTATTGTGGCAAAATCGGTCAGTTTAGCATGTGTATCTTATGCACTTATGGCTGAGTGTTTAGCTCTTCGAGAGGCAGTGGTATTTGCTTTAGAGTTAGGTTTAGAGTTGGGTTTCTTGCAAGTTATTTTCGAGGGAACACTTGTCAATTATTAATATGGTCTGGGGTGTCATGCTGTTGCAACATGTTGAAGTTCTTGACCAAGATATTTTATTATTAGTTAGGGGCACTTCTTGTGTCCAATTTCTATTTGCGGGACGAGATGGGAATAAGAGAGCGCATGATTTGGTAAGGTATGCTTGTAGTGGGAATGGTTATTGTAAGTAGAACACAACACCTCCGGGTTGGATACTTTTTGTGTTAAGGGATGATGAATGTCGTTTTGTTTTTGAACTTTGTTGTTAACATTTCAATGAAATTTTTGCAATTTTGAAAAAGAAAAGTTAAAAGAATATTTTGTCCTTATGTTAAATCTAACAATAAATTACACTAATTTTTTTTGAAATTTTAAAAAATACAATAAATTTTGTAGTTTCAACATATTAATATTGACTTCTTTTGTAAGGGTAAATAGATTGTAGGGCAAACTTCACTTTACCCCCTATGGTTTGGAGCATGTGCGGATTACCCCTCTGACGTTCGAATATCACCACATAACCCCCTGTGGTTGATGGAGTAATGTCCACAGTTAGCTTTTCCATCTATTCTAACAGGCCGTGCATAACACGCACTTGATATGCAAATGGGCATGAAAATATGATTTTTCCTCCAAATTGAATGGCTAAAATGCCCTCATCTCCATCATCAATTTCCAAAACCTACCCTCATCTTTATCATCAATATCCAAATATTCATTTTTCAAAACACAACACATCTCTCTCTCAATTTCACATCTTCCTTCTCCAACTCAAGGCCAAGAACAATGAATAAAAATTATAGTACTTCTGAAAATCAAAACAACAAAAAGCTTCCAATCTCCATTGCAAGAGCTTCAGAAATCGAGGGAGAAAAATTAGATAAGGAATATATAGGGAAATTTGAAACTGATCAACGAATATATGCAAATACATAAATTATACATTGATACAAACAACATAAACATGCATATATATATATATAGAGAGAGAGAGAGGAGAAAGAGAGAGAGAGAGAAAATAAATGTTTTTGCAATGTTCATTTAGATTGGACTCAAGTGCTGATCGGAGGTTTCTGCGAGATTGGAGTTGATGTTGGACTGTCGATGACGACATGGATGGTCGGATCAAAGAAGGAAGAAAGAAAAACAAGTTCAAGTTAGTGCAGACAACAATCCAATGCGTTAAGGTTAATTTTCTTGATCATGTGTACATACATGTATATATAGCTTTCTCTCTCTTATATCTCTATGTTAAAAGAAAATTCTTCATTTTTTTTTTGATTGAAAAGAATTGAAATTCCTCAATTTCAAGTCTTGAAATTCTTTAATTTTTTTTTATAATCATCGAATCAAAGATATATATGTGTGTGTGTATGTATATATATATACATAGTTATTGCTTGAGCTACAACTTTGTAGCTCCATTATGAAAAGGTAGCAAGATTTTTCAATGGACCTGAAGCAGTTCATCCAGGGATTATATTGATGACATGGGTAGACTGATCTTCGATTAACTTTTACAATGATGGCTGATTACGAGACAAACAAAGATAGAAGCTTTGCTCTAATGAATTGCAATTTGTTTATCAAAAAAATTAAGGGTTGAACTTTAAACTTGAAGGCAAATTGAACATTAAATAAATTAATTAGAAATTATGTTGCTTAAATTAATTTGTTAAATCAAAACCCTAATTTCATATATGAAAACCCTAAGTTCTCTCTCTTGTTCTTCTCAAATGCACAACTGTTGAATAAGAAATGTTAAACAAATGTTATATATACAAAGGCAAAATAGTCTTCTTACTTCTAATGTTAACAGGGTTAACTATGCACATTACTCCATTAATCACAAGGGGGTTTTGTGGTGATATTCGAACGTTAGGAGGTACTCTGCACATGGTCCAAACCATAGGGGTCAAAGTGAAGTTTGCCCTAAATTGTAATTAATGCAATGGTAGCACCTCTATGTCACATTTGAGAAATTATTTAATGCTCATAGAGTAAGTTTAGATAGTGTTTTAAATGAGTTGTTATTAGAGTAAGTGTAGATAGTGTTTTAAATGAGTTGTTATTAGTTTAAATTATGAGATTCATTTAGATAATAAAACATTAAGTCCTCTTTTGGAAAGAGGTTAAAAACTATAAATTACTTCTTTTAGGTCATATCACTTTTCTAATTTTTTATATATTTTTTCAAAAAAAATCAAATAAAGTCAAAAGATAACTCTTAACCTACTTTCCAAAATAACCTTGAGTGTCAATCTACAAATATAATAGAATATTGTTTTAACAATAAATTAATGATTCATCTACCAAATTTGTTTAACTTGAATTCATTCGAATGAATCTCTTCTCAAGAAGAGACTCATGTGCGCAAGTCTTTTTTTTAAAAAAAATTCATATCTCTTTTAAAAAAGAAAAAAAAATCATTCAAGTGAAATCGAACTAAACAAATTTATGCCTGTTTTGATAAGTTGGTTAAAAATTAATTTTTTTATTTTTTCTTTAAAAACACATATAAAAAAAAAATATAATCTAAAATAAATTAAAATTCAAAACTTAGGTTTTGGTATTGCCAATGCCAAGTGTATTGAATAATTTCTAGGCACATTCACCTTCTTAGTGCCACCTCGATGCGCTCCCACCGTGTCTCAATCAATTCGAAACCAAAGAGAAAGCGCGAAAACTGAGGAAACACTTTTTGAAATGACAAAAACATTAATAATTAATAAATTAAATTAAATTAATTCAAATCAATTGATGGAGTAACTTGAAACTCCCCCCAAGAACACACACTCTCTCTCACCTCACCTCACCTCACCTCACCTCAGCTTTTTCCTTGTACTGTGAGATTCGTTCCTTTCAAGCATTTCTTAATATTTCAAATTTCGCTTTGGTTTCGTTGATTTCGGAGTAAATAATAGTAACACTTAAGCAATTTGAACTTTACGCTTCCTTCAAACTTCTCTCATTTTCTCGAGAAAATTCAATATAATGTCGTTTGCATCACCTGTTCTGGTTCTAGGGTTTCGTCTGAGTTCGTAGCGGTCCATTTTCATCGTGTTAGTACTACCAATACTTGCTTCAATAGTTTTTTGTTCGTTTTTTCTTTTACTCTCTGTTTGTTTGCCAAGAAAATAGAGCAATAGAGAATAACGTGTTTAGAGCTTCCATGTTATTGTTTTATGTTTTTCGGTTACGTTTTCTGACTAACCCAAACAGAGTAGTTTTCTCATTTTATTACTCTGGTTGATTGTATGTTACAATTTTTAGCCTAATTTGTATTTTTTTTTTCTGTTAAAAAATTATTATTGTGCTGTGGAATATCCTCACAAACTGTTCTTCTTCTTCTTCTTCTTCTTCTTCTGTGATTTACTGCAGAAGTCTAAATGTGTGATCTTTGAGTGAACTGAACTCTCAAATCTGGAACCCTTTGTGACCACTACTATTGTCATGTTGCTGCTTTCAGTTATATGCTTATAATCACCTCGAAAATAATGCTGCGTTCATTGCTTATGTCTTTTATGCATCCATTCTCAGATTAGATTCATGTTGTCTCTTGGTGCCTCGTTTTTCACCTATTTCTCCACTAATTTGTTCAACACAGTTGTTTGGTTGGTGAGAATATTGATAGGAAACCTTTGTTTGGTTGGTAAGCAAATTGATAGGAAAGAACATGTAATTTTGATTACCATGAAAACTTTGATTACCCAAAAAGAGATAATAAAATAAATCAACTTAGAAAAGAAAAGTGAAGTAGTTGTCTAAGGTTAAGCAGATAGGATTTTTTATTCCTAATTTAACCGAGTGCCTACAAACTACTCAGCTAAAGATTTTTTAAGAAATCAAATGGGCCAACATTTCTTTTTAAGGGTTTTGATTCTTATATTATTTCTTTATATGTGAATGTGTAAGTAAGTACTGCTATAGCCAACTTTAGCTATTGCCATTTATGGGATTTTAATATTGCCTCAAAACAAAATTTTGACAATTTCGTTATTGCCAGACATGATTTGAGCGTCACTGCTTCAACCATGCAGTCATTGGTTGCCATACAGAGGTTTGATGTGCACAATCTTTACGTATTGAATGTACTTTTTTTGGATGGAAGTTCAGAATTTAGGACATAAGATTCCACGATATTCAGGGTTAGTATAAGGGTACATAAGATGAAGACACATGCATATTTAAAAGCAAAAGGAACTACTAGGGTTAACCATCAGCAGGAGATGTTTGAGCTTAAACAGCGAGTGGTCTTTGCTCTAAACAAGCTTGCAGACAGGGACACACACCAGATTGGGGTTGAGGAGCTTGAAAAAACAATCGAATGTTTAAATCCAGATGGGGTTGCACCATTCCTGTCTTGCATATTAGATACTGATTCTGAGCAGAAGAGCACAGTTCGTAAGGAATGTATTAGGCTGATGGGTTTAGTAGTTGCATTTCATGAGGGCCATATTGCTCCACACCTTGGAAAGGTGATTGCTAGCATCGTCAAACGACTCAAGGATCCAGATTCTGTTGTGAGGGACGCATGTGTGGAAACGGTTGGTGTTTTGGCTTCTAAATTGAGCAATGGTCAGGGTGAAAATGATGGAGCTTTTGTTGCAATAGTGAAGCCTCTTTTTGAAGCCTTGGGTGAACAAAATAAGCAGGTGCAATCTGGTGCTGGGTTGTGCTTAGCTCGGGCCATTGACAGTACCAACAATCCGCCAGTGTCAATTTTGCAGAGGATGTTGACCAGAACCATTAAGTTGCTTAAGAATCCACACTTCATGGCAAAACCTGCAGTCATTGAACTGAATAGAAGTATTATTCAGGTCAGTTTGTCCCTGTTGCAAAGCAGTGCTGTCTGATTTGCCTGCATTTTCCATGTTTTTGTATTTTGCTCACTGAGTGTTATGGTAAGTTCAGCCTAGTCAATTATGTCGTGAAATAAATAAAGAACTCTTTTGATATATTTGCTCTGAAGTTGCTAGATCCATAATATAAGTTAACGAACTGACTACATTATAAAATGTAAGTTTCTATTCACTGCATGTTAAAGTGTGATCTGCAGCATTTGAAATAAAAATGGAAAAAAAAGAGAGAAAAGTTTTGGACATTGGATCTTTGCTGAATAGTTAGTATAGATTCTGAAAGCAATTAACAGGTAAATTTACTTATTTAGTAATTTCAAACTTTAATTCCTGCTTGGTGTAGATGGCAAAATGTTAATTTCTTCTCTAGTTATTCAGTCAAGAAATAAACCTCTTGATTGTTTCAGGCAGGGGGTGCCCCAACACAATGTACTTTATCTGCTGCAATCAGCAGCATCCAAGAAGCTCTCAAGAATAGTGATTGGTCAACACGCAAAGCTGCTTCTTTATCATTAGGTGAAATCGCTTCAAGTGGTGGATCTGTCTTTAGTTTTTTCAAGGCTTCCTGCATCCGTTGTCTTGAATCATGTCGGTTTGACAAGGTTGGTGTTACTCAGTATAAAAATCTGTGATATTTCTTTCCTTGTGAATGCTGAAGTTGGATCCATTGGGTGCTTTTGCATTTAATATAGGTGAAACCAGTTAGGGACACAGTTCTGCAGGCTTTACATCTTTGGAGAAGGCTTCCAGGGCCTGATACACCTGAACCTTCTGAAGCTGGATCTTCTATTAAAGGTTTGGTAGCTGGTCCTCTATTGCTAATGTTCCAAATTAGTTCGTCAAATTCGCTAACGTAATTTGTCTTCCTTGATGCTTGTTTTATTTCTGAACTTTGTACGTCTGTTACCAATGAAATTCTGTGCATCATTCAGTTTTTTGACATGGCGCTTAACTTATATGCGGCGGTAGTTCTTTTTGACCAGTCAAAATTATTATATTGCTTGTATTACCCTTGGGATTATTTGATGGGACCAGAAACCTAAAAATTGATTAATTGGGTTCTAGACATTATAGGATGTATCTTGATACTGTGTGATGCCAAGGTTCAAGTCCCATCACCAATCTAAAATAATAAATAAATAAATACTATTAACTAATGTATGCAGCTAATCACAATGAATATAATGGTATGGGAAATTTGAGGTAATGTATCAAAGGCAATAGACAGTTTGAGGTAGGTGATAATAACCAAACCAAATCGAGTCTTGTGTCCCAATTAATTGGGGTCGGCTATATGAATCATTTTTCACCATTCCACTTTGTCAAAGGCTATATGCTTATCTAATTTGAGTAAATTGATATCTCTTTAACTACATATCAGTCCAGTTTAGGTTTTCTCCTCCCTTAACATTTTTACTTGTAGTGACTATATCACTCTACCTCCCCATGTCATTTATATACTCGATTAAATTAGATAAAGGTCTGTTGGATTAATAGGGGATGGGATCTAGCAAGGTCAAAGACTAAAGAGGCTTATGGTTAGTGGAAACGGTATTGAAGCTGAAAGGTATCTAAATTCTTTGGTATTTAATCACACTATCTTTTGAGAGGTGTCTTCCATTTAAGTAGTTTTGGCTTCTAAATGTTTATTTATTTTTTATTTTTAATTTTTTTTTTACTTGTTTGATTCTGTAAATAGCTTGAAATGATGATTTGGAGTTCCTTACATGCCTACTGAAAGGGCTAGGTTGCACTATTTGGTGATTGAATTGAACAACTTGGCAAACTCAATCCAACAATTCTTTGTCCCAATTATTTGGGGTCAGCTATGTGGATCCATTTTTGTCACTTGATCCATTTGGGGTTGGCTCAATCCAAGTTCTCCTTGGAGCATTTATCTATTTTATTTAATTTTTTTGATCACGGTCCTCATAGATCAAATAAATCCTTCTTACATGTATGCTAAGTGGTCTGCGATGCACATGACCATATCTTGAGAATTGACTTTCTCTCATCTTAATATCTTATCTTCAATTAGTGTCACTCATAAATCATTTGTTTATTTTTATATTTTCTTGTTACTGTTGAGATGAAAAATAAAGAGATTAGAAGAATGAGATGGCTTAAACCTTAGGGTTACCTCATCTAACTATTTAAATTAAATAAATGCAACATTTCATTGACAACAGATTCATTGGATGATGATGCTTAGACCCAAGGTTTTTCTAACTTATGCTTTAATCAAATCAACTCACAAGTAGTATATACCATAGTTCTATATTCAGACTCGACATTTGATTGGGCCAACAATTTATTTCTTACTCTTCCATGGCACCAAATGATTGCCAACAAATACACAATACAAGTGGTTGACCTCCTATTACATGGAGATCTAGCACAATTGGCATCAGTATAACCTTGGATTTGAATGTGACCATGATTCTGGATTACTAAACCACAGCCAGACACTTTTGAGATATCTCAAAACCCGCAACATCCCAATGACAGGTTCAAGGAGCATCTAAAAATTGACTTACTGTACTTGCTGCAAAAGTGATGTATGTCCCTGTAACAGCAAAATAATTTTGCCAACCAATTGTTTATATTGCCCTGATTTGCCATCTTCTAACAACTTACCCTTATTTTCCATAAACGTGGTGTTGGGGTTCATAGGAAAGTCTAGGTTTAGAGCCGAACATCTCACTTATCCTTATTTTCCATATTTCACTTAAGAAAACAAGAACATATGTTTGAGACAAAGAGGTTCCATGACATGACCTGCCACTTCAATGCTCAAGAAATATCTCAGTTGTCCTAAATCTTTGGTATGAAATTTATTCTATAGAAAGAACTTAATGCCTGAATAACATCACAATCATCACCGTTAATCACAATATCATCCACATATACAATCAACAATATCTTTCCAACTGCACTCTGTAATGATGTACCACATGTCTAAAAACCAAAGTAAATCACATCACTAACTATTCCATACCAAGTAGGGATGTAATCGGTTCGGGACAGTCGGTGTTTAGGTGAAATTTTGCACCGAACCGATAATGTCGGTTTTTTTTTATATTGAAAATTAATACAGACCAAATTTTTTATCAAACCTTACCAAATCACACTGATTCAAACGGTTCGGCTCAATGCGATTTAATCGGTTTAACTACTTTCAAAATTGAGTCATTTTTTTAATTTGTAGTATAATAAATAATTTATATAAAAATATTAAATTAGTCATTTGTACACAATTTTAACCATATCTAATCTAACCATCCACAAAAATACAAACAAAAAAATTAATAAATTCTAAGGCTTGAAGCTTTTACTGAATTAGGATTAGAAACAAAATATAATCTAAAAGAACCAAAGTCTTGACATCAAAACAAAACCAAAACTTAAAACAATCATCCCATAAGTCTAAACCAAAGGTCTATCAAATAGAGTAAAAAAAAAATAAAAAATGAAGGCATTGTAGTAGCAAAAGTTGACTCAAACATATCAGTGGCAAACCAACAGCTTATCACATTGTCAATGTCTATTGTTAAACCTGAAATATTTAGGAAAAAAAGAAACAATTAGCTGAATCAACTAAAAGTGAAACTAAGTCAAGAGAAAAATAAATTAAATATGTTATTAACAATTAAAAATTAAGTCAAGAGAAAAATAAATTAACTTCACATGTCATAAGTACCTAATTCAATATTTTCATCTTCTTCCACAAAATCCATAGAATCTCGAAGGCTAATAGAAGTAGATGAGGAACGAAGCCAATTTTATGTACAAATCAAAGCCTTCACCATGGTTGGAGACATATAACTGCGAAAAGGATCAAGAACACGACCTCCAATGCTAAATGTAGATTCTGAAGCTACAGTAGACACAAGAATCGCAAGAACAATTCGTGCAACTTGGGAAATAATCGGATATCTAGTAGCATTATTCTTCCACCAAAGCAATGCATTAAAATTCTCACTGTCAACTTAAAAGCTCTTAGCCAATTTTTTATCAACCTCTGATTTACATGCCATACCATCTTTCTCCTCTAAGTGTTTCTTAAGTTGAAATTTCAACATAGCACGAACATCTTGCCCCTCTCTCAGATTCATTTCATTTGGTGCACTACCAATCTGATATTGTACAATATTACTTGCCTCATTAACAACATGCCAATCATACAACTTAACCAATGTATCCTTCACTTTTTTGGACATTTCTTTTGCCATAACAGGATCAAACATTTGGCCAAACCAATACTTAACAGATTTCAACTTATAACGAGGATCAAGAACCACTGCAACAAACAACATTTTCATCTTATCAAGGTTTCTGCAATATTTATCAAATTTTAATTTCATGTCCACCGCCATTGAACTTGGAAATGAATCTTCCTTTGCACATAATTGATCAATGCTGTTTTTAATTAAAACAAACTCCATAAAGAAAGCATTAGAAGTAATATGCAAAGAACCAGAAAATCGCATGGTTGCATCATAAAAGATTTTTAAGAAATTCACAAATAACCTGATTTTGTTCCAATCATCGTCAAGTGCAGTACCCCAAACCTTTCTTTTCCCATTCACTTTCCCATTATTGTCGTCCCAATCCCCAATCCCGTCCTCATTACCAATCTCTCCCAAACTAGTGACAAAACTCAAATCTTCATCTTCTAGCCTTTCAAAAGCTTTTTGAAAATTTTCAGCCCTTTCCAACATCATGTAAGTGGAATTCCCCCTCGTAGGGACATCTAAGCAAAGTAAACTTTTACTCACAATTCCTTCTTTCTTGGCACATAACTTAAATGTTGCAAACCGAGATGGAGAGGATTTGACATACCTCACAGCAATGCGCACTTTCACAATTGACTTATCTAAGTCACGCAAACCATCACACACTATAAGATTCAAAATATGACCACAACATCTCATGTAAAATAGTAGTCTTTCTATTCTTAGTCTTCTTTTTCAAAAACTGAATCAAACCACTATTAGAACTTGCATTATCTACTGTCATGGTTAGTATCTTATCAATGCCCCAATCAAGCAGACACATTTCAATCTTCCCACCAAGTGTTTCACCCTTGTGATTTTCCACCAAACAAAAATTCAGAATTCTTTTATGTAGTTTCCAATCATTGTCAATAAAGTGAGTTGTGAGACACATGTAGTTTAGATTTTGCAATGATGTCCATGCATTTGTTGTTAAGCAAATGCGTTGACCTCTTAGAGCACTTTTTAACTTACTCTTTTCATTCATGAAAATTTTGAAACAATCTTTTGCAATTGTAACACGGCATGGGATTTTCGGTCACCTAGGTTGAACAACATGCATAAAATGACAAAACCCTTCACCCTCCACAAATCTAAATGGTAACTCATCAATAATCAACATTTTAGCTAAAGCAGTTCTACAAGCATCAACACTGAAATTAACAGTAACAAGTTGTCTACTAGTTTCCCCATCCCCTGTGTTCTGTGTAGATTGGAATGCTAATGTTTTTTTGGGTATTATCCTGTAGCCTAAGTGGATATTTCTTGCATTGTGATTCCAAATGAGTTAACATAGATCTAGTCCCATTCTATTTGGGGTCACATGCATAAGTAATTTGACAGTAATTACATTCAGCTCTAGGCTTTCCATCCTTGGTTTTTATCTCAGTAAAATGGCCCCAAACCATTGACCTTTTCCTGGAGCCACGAGTTCCAACATTAAACTTCTCACATGCCTTGGGTGGTCTTGCTGAGGAATGGACTATTGCTTCTCCAATGGGAGTCCCATCAATAGTTTGGGTGTGGGGATGGGATTCAGAGGCTAAATCAATAATGACAGCATCTACACAAGCCATAGAAAAAAGAAAAAAAAAAGAGTTAGGATTCTAAAAACACAATTAAATTAGGGGAGGGCAGTAAAACATATACTGAAAAAAAAAGAGAGAAACATACATAGAGATAGAGAAGAAGAAAATACAAAGAGATCACAAACCTTCTGTGACATCCTTCGATTAGGAGAGATGAAGAGTCTCATAGAGAGGAGAGTGCTTCACAAAAAGAAAGATAAGAACTGATTTTTTTTGTTGTTGTCGTGAAGAATAGTGATAAGTTTAAGATTGGGATGGTAAGGTTAATAAAGGGTTTTGGTGATTGGTGCATAGTGTTATAGTGTTATGAAAATGTGTGTGATAGTTGACAATGCTATCACATGATTCCTTTGGGGATACCAACAGCTAGTTCTTGGAAGTGTATGAGATCTTGAAAAAGTTTAATTGACATGTATGTTTTCTATTCCATTAGGGAGTGGCAGTCTGGCATATACACTTTGAGAAGTGTAATGGTTGATGTTTTATTTCCTTAGCTATGTCAATGGTGCAAGACTTGTGTGATGACTACACCCTTTGGTGGCAGTAAATGTCTTTTCATGGGGAAGACAAATTGGCAGTGTTATTCATTATATATTTAATACATATTATATGTATATATATTTGGTCGGTTTCGGTACAAATCGGTGTATAGTATATCAAAACTAGTACCGAACCGAAAACTGGAAAAAATTAATTTCCAAAACCGAATAGATCAATTCTTATTAAAAAACCGACCAAATATGACCGGTTTGATCCAGTTCAATCGGTTTAGTCAATGTTTTTGGTTTTCTTACATCCCTAATACCAAGCGTGAGGAGATTGAGTCCATAAAATGACTTTTCCAAATAACACACTAACACTAACTCTTCTAAGCAACAAACTTGAGAGGTTGTTCTATATAAACCTCATGGAGATTACCATGTAAGAATGCATTCTTCACATCCAATAGATGTAAAGTCCAATCAAATGTGGCAACAAGGGAGATAAAAAGAAGAACAAGAGCAATCTTCACCACAAGTGAGAAAGTCTCAGAGTAGTCAAGATCGTAAACTGCTTGACCGTATCACTAGGATGGATTTTGACCTCATACACCCATTTACATCCTACAATTGATTTGCCTAGAGGACAAGGCATTAAGTCTCAAGTATCATTTTGTTTCAAGACTAGCATTCCATCTTCCATGGCTTTCTTCCAACCAGAATTAGATAGACTCTCTGTGACAGAGTTAGAAATAGGAATAGAAGATATTGTGGCAACAAACAAGGAAAAAGAAGGGGGATAAATGTGGACATACAGAACAAAAGAAGATTAGAAGAATGAGAAAGCTTAAACCTTTTGGTTAGTTCCCATAACTATTTAAAATAAATAAATGCAACATTACATTGACATAAATACCCTCAACAGTAATATTGGCCATCTATCTCAATAAGCTCATTTAAGCTGCATTCATTTTTTGAACTTGTTTTTATTAGCCACCCAACATTAAGTACCATAAATCATAGCATGTCTTAAAGCAGGCAATTAAAAATTGCAACACACAGTGCTTTTGATGCACTCCATCTTTTTTTTATCCTTCCCTAATTTTGTGGGCCATGTTTTCGCGAATCTCTTTGTCTTTATGAATAATTGACTAGAAATATCGAAAATGATCACTCTTAGGTATCTCATATCCATCAAGTTTTGCTCTACCTACATTCCTGTTTCTAGTTTGCTAATGATAACTCCAACTATTCTTAGTCCTTTGTCCTACTTAGCCTAAACCCTTTAGGCCCCGTTTGTTTTGGGAGATAGAATGGAGGGGATTAATAGTGAGGGGATTAATAGTGAGGGGATTGATACTGAGGAGTTGTTAAATTATTTTTATATAAAATAATAAAACAAATAAAAAAATATAAAAAAATAAACATTATATTTAAAAAAAATTCCCAATATATAAAAAATAAAAAAAATAAAAAAATTTCTAATCCCCTCACTATTTTTCTAATACCATCTCTACCTCCTCCTTATCAATCCCCCTTCCTCATCCTTACTAATACCAAGGGATTACTAGTCCCCTCCCTATCTCTCAAAACAAACACTCCATTCTCAATCCCCTCCTCACTATCAAACCCAATCCCCTCCCCATAACCCCAAACAAACGGGGCCTTAGATTCTAAAGTATCTCTCCACAACTCTAATTTAAAGTTTACTACTATTATTTGGTGGACTAAAGTTATGTCATCTACAAATAGCGTACACTAGGGATATCCTCTTGAATGTTCATCATAAGTTAATCTAAAAATAATGCTTAAAAGTTCGCACTGAGTGTTTTTTTTAATATAAACCTATTGTCATTGGAAATTTACTTGTTTCTCCCTAACAATGCATTTTATAAGTCAATAAACACCTTTGAATGTAAGGTCAACAATCACCGGTGACTGGTTGTACCAGCCTTAGAGCTCGGAGTTTGTGATGTTATACCACAGACCGAAGCCACTCAATTCCCTTGATCTTTATGAATACCCAATCTTTTAATTTTTGAACAATCAACATCACATGTGAAACACTAGTTTTCAGTCTGAAAGAGCAACAAGCTTTAATAGACTAAAGTGCTCACGTTTTATGGACCAATCTTGTACACAGTTGTTAGGCATTTGAATTTTAGCTCAAAATAATGTAATGTCTTTTATTTGTTATTTTGACTTGGAGTTTCATTTTTAATGGATAACAAAAACTTATAAAAGGAAAAATCGAGGTAGAATAAGGTTTCTCTACACGAGGACTTCAAGGAAAAGATGCTAAATTGCAGACCAAAGCATGCACAGTTGTTAATTCGGGACATGTATTGAGTATCGTTTTTCTGAATCATGTATCGTATTGTATCATGTATCATAATATTTTTTTAGTGTCTTTAAAAGTAGGTAGGAAAATAAATGTAGCTATTTAAAAAAAAAAAAAAAAAAAAACTTGCGTAAACAAAACACTAAACAATGTATAATTCTTAAAATTACAAAAAAGGTTGAAGAAGATATGAATGCATCGATACTTGATGCATACAAAATGTTATCCTCAAATCAATTTTACCCTCAATTTTTTCTCATTCTTAGTAATTGTGTGTATTATATTTTTCATATTGTCTTCACTCACCATTTAAGTTTTAATAGTTAGTTTACAATTTTTAAGTTCTCAAATAGCTTATCTATAGTAGAAAGTTTTATGCTTTAACGGGCGTAAGTAGGCATAAATCAATAGCACAAGATACTTAATACCATCCAAGTACATATTTGTCAAAAAAGTAGAACCCCCCCCCCCCCCCCAAAAAAAAAAAAAAATCGCCACTTCTCATTGCAAAAATATTAATTTTTAATGTCAATGAAAATTTCTAAAAATATTAATTTATATAAAGTTAAGTGTGTGTTTGGTTTCAGTTTTATGAATTCAGTTATTTGAAAATTGAGTTTTTGTTTTTCGTATTTTTTTGTTTTTAGTGAATATTTTTAAATTGTTGAGCTTTTTTTTTTTTACTTTTTTAGATACACCTTACTTAGATGTATCTAAAAAATAAATTATTTGTGAAAAAATATTTTGAAAAATTAATAAATACACAAAAATACAAAAAATGTATTGAATTTTCGTATATATATATTTTTTTGTATTTAGTGAATTTTTTAAAGATTTTTTTTCACGAAAATTATACTTTTTAAGTGTATTTATGTTAGGTGTGTCTAAAAATTTTAAAAATTGCTTAAAATATTTAAAAAATTCAGTAAAAACAAAAAAATACGGAAAACAAGAGAGTTGGATTTTTTGAAAAGTGTTTTCAAAAAACTTGAAACAAACATGGTTTTTTTATTTTTTTTTAATTTGTTTTTTAAAATTGCTAAAGAAATTGAAGTATTCATGTATCCTATGTATTGTAAGATAAATTTAACTTAAGATATGCATTGGTGATATGTATCGATTTGTCTTTGAAAATAACAAATCGTAAGTTATGTATCGTGAATTGTAAGATACTGACAACACTTGTACATGACTTAAGTTTTTGTAATCACAACATTGTCTTTAAACCTGAACTTTCCAGTTATTCAACTTTGCATGGGTTCAAACCTGTCAAACCCTTAACAGTTATATGTATTCACCATCAATGTTATGCTATTTTGCAACTTTAAGGAACTGCATCTTCTTCAGATTGAAGTGCAGGAAGACTACTTCAATCAATCATTTTCTTTGTTTTGTTCTGTTTTCCAAATTTATTTATGCCTTCCAGTACTGTCAGCTATGTTGCACAAAGTTTTCAATGAAGGTGTGGGAAACTGGATTACGAGTTTTTCTCTCCCCCCTCTTTTTTTGCAGCTTTGAGCTCCTTAAGTATATTTAGGAATGTGCTGGCCTGAACTTCCTGAGACAATTTGTGAAATTAATTAAAGAGTTTTCATTTTGTTGGTTTCTTTTTCAGTTTGGAATAAAATTCCTTAGGTAATTTCTGTGATAGAAAACCTTCTAGTCATGTCAAAATGAAAAACCTTCTAGTTCTTGTACCAAAATGAAAAAGAAAAATCTTCTAGTGCTTTGCAAGTTCCTTCTTCTATTATGTGGGCATATTCGCTGATTTGTACCTTCCAACCTTTTTTTAATTGCATGGTATTTTAAGTTTCTTTGTTTGATGGTGTTATCTTTATCTAATCATATATATATCCTGCAGAAAATTTTTGTGGAGGTGATAATTGTAGTGCAAATGAGTCTGGATGGAAGGATGCCTTGCTTACAAAAGTGGGTACCAGCTCAATTAAGAAAAGGCTTCCTCTCTCTGTGAGAAAAACATGCCAAAGCTATGTGGGTAATCCACAACATTCTAAAGCAAATGATTGGCATATAGAAATTGCAGTTCCAAAAACTCCCAATGTTTCTTTAGCAGATGTTCAAAATGACGAATCTGAGGGTAGTTCTGTTACTAAGACATTTGAAAGAGTGAGTGCTGATATCACAATTGGTCAAGACATTGGATATGAATATGTATCAATGGATGACAGACAGGATTGTTCTTCTGTGTCTAACATTATTACCGATAACTTTGAAACCAAATTTGTGACGAAGGAAGTTGGTTTGGTGAAGCAAATGGCAACAAATCAGAGGTTTGCAGCTGAAGAAATTAGTAGTGAAGAACAAAGGTACTCAGTTAAGATGCAGGATCGCAGGAGTCTTGATTCCACAGTCTCAGAATCAAATTCCCAGGCCATGCGTCAATGTTGTTCGCAAACAGTGAATGAAATGGCTTCCATTCAAAAGCAGCTTTTGGAGATTGAAAATAAACAGTCAAACTTAATGGATCTGTTAAAGGTAATTACTCTGGGTCCCTTGAATATTTATAGGTTGAAAACTTCTTCATTAAGTAGACTTTTGCACACATACTGATGCACATTATGAGATCTGTCTAGTCTCATTCACCCCAAACAAAGGCAGGGTAGTGATCGGCCAGTAGTTATAGGCTACCAAAGGCCTAACTATACAATTCCGTAATACTACTCCCATAGAAAATTGGGGGTAAAATCATTATATATAGCGGAAGTTTTAAAATTCTTAACCTCCTTAATCTCACAACATCCATTTAGAACCATGGTTGTTAAAATCGCGATCTGGATCGTACGATCCTACGATCCTACTTTGCTAAAACGATCCAGATCGTTGTAGGATCGATGTTATAACAGGATTGCAAGTAGGATCGTGTAGGATCGCATGGGATCGTGTAGGATTGCATGGGATCGTAGGTAGGATCGCAAGTAGGATCGTAAATTTTATGATTTTTCACCTTATTTTTAATATGTATCATTTTAATTTTAATTTTTATCTTTTTTTTAATAGAAAGTAGGATCTTACGATCCTCGATCCGATCCTACGATCCGATCCACCAGACCCTCTCACCGATCCTACTTAGGATCCCGATTTTAACAACCTTGATTCTTGTATTACAAAAACATAATTGAATATACAGAAACATTCAGAAATCTTACATGATATTAGAGCCAAGTGCGAAACCCTAGTAGAAATCGCAACTGGTTCTCTGGTTCTGAGCTTTAGTTCGATCAAAGTTCTCTTTGATTCTGTTCTGGTTCTGTTCTCTAGATTTTATTGATTCCACGACCTATTTAGTTCACCACCCATCATTATGATCGAGTTCACCTTTTGCTCTTGTGTGACTCATCTGAGTTCAAACCACAACCTGTCATCTCACGACCCACCTGATTCACTTCATGACTTTGCATCATAGCCCATTTGGTTCGACCCTCCTTGTTCCCTCTAACTCATGACTCATTTGGTTTGCATCGCAAAGTTCTCTGGTTTGAAGTTCTATTTGTTCGACACCTTTTTGTGGTCTCGGAGTCGCAATTGACATTGCGATCAGCATTTGCCTTCGTTGTATCGAAACCTACCTAGTCCGCGACTTGTTTCCTTTGTTGCCGACTTGGTTCTGGACGTATGATGCTCGCTCGATCTCTCTCACTTTGATTTGTCTTCATCTGGTTCTGGACATACGAAGCACATTGAGATTAATTATCACTTTGGTCGTTAGAATTTGTAGTCTGGCTCTATCTCGCTTCCTTTCGTCTCTTCGACTTTGCAATTTGCTGACTTCTTTACCAAGACTCACACCACTGTTCGGTTTCAGTTTCTTCTTGGCAAACTCTCAGTGTTATCTGCTAAAACACCTTGAGTTTGAGCGAAGGTGTGAGAATATTAAGTTTATGTATGGTAGTATATACACTTGGTATTTATTAGGGATTGAGTGAATATTTTTGTTTCCTTTTTCGTTCTAGGGTTAGATTGTTATATAAACTAATGTATTCTTGTATTACAAAAACATAATTGAATATATAGAAGCATTTAGAAATCTTACAGGGACTACCCAAGGGTGCCATGTAAATATGTATGTCAAATATAATCATATAGGATATCCATTAGTTTGAGGCATTTCAATACAATTTAGATCAAATAAAGCTTTTAAGTATTCAAAATAGAAGTTTAAATTAACTTTGAAGAAACACTACTGACCTCAAATCTTTCCAATTGTTAGTCTCAACTAATCAACCTACATCATATAATACAATGCATGTTGGTACACAATCCATTTCAACAAAATTAGAGCAAGTGAATTAATTATGAAATTCATTTCCACAAATTAACTTGTTTAAGGTATCTCCAAATTCAAACGTGCCGCTTAGGCCCTTGTTTTTGTCCTAAAACATGTGTTAAATTATGTTTGATTTGCTGCTGAATTAGATGATTAAAATAAGTTTAAAACTATTTTAATGCAATTTCGAATTGTGCAGGCAATATTGACACCTTTTAGTAAAACAACTATATCTTCACTAGAAAACTCAAAATCAAGCTCCGTTGATACGTTAAGAACTAGACTCATATATGTTTCCAATAGTGGTGCTGTTTGGTATAGCTGTTAAAACAGATTATAGATTATAGCTTAACAGATTATAGATTATGACTTTAATCAGAAGCTGTTAATCTGTTTGGTATAACTGTTGGATTATAGATTTAAGTTGCTGAGTAGTGCTTGTTAAATAAGCTGTGAAATAGCTTTTTCAATTAATTTTTATTTTTTATTATTCACTATTTGTCTACATTTCTCATAAAAATAATAATAATATTTTATAGCCCATTTGGGTCTTTTTCTATTTTTAAAAAAATAAAAAATAAAAAAATTTAAGAGTATAACCGTGAATTAACATGTCCATAGCAGAAACTGATAATCAGAAGCAAGGGTGAGCAGCTTATCAGAATTAGCTTTTTTGACTTAAAATAAGTTATTAGAATCAGAAACTGTTTGAATTAAGTTTAACCAAATAGTCCAAAATAACTTTTTAAAAGTCAGAAGCCATAAGTTGGCTCAAAAAAGCCCCACCAAACACCCCCAGTATAGGCCATACAACTTATTTCTTTCCCAATTAATATAGACTTGCAATTGAAGTTGCTCCAAAACTGTCAAAACCGTTGCTAGTTTACTGTTTTTCAGCAAAAGTAAGGCATTTTTAAATGGTCATATATCTCCTTTGTACAAACTTGTATTTGTGAAAAATTTGAGTTTAAATTGAAGAAGCCCCATAAGTCTAGTTTCTAATGGTAGTAATGTCATATCAAAATTCTACATATTAGGAGATATGGTCAAAAGAGTGCAACCAGGTCAGATTATACTCCCCAATTAGCAGTTTTCTAATTCAAAAGCTTAAATTCAATTAAAACAAGTTTCTAAATCTAAGTTTTTGAATTCTTTCTTCAAAAAATCATTTTAAAAACAAAATCAACCAATTGAAAGGTTATAATTAGGTATAGAAACATGAACATTGCCTCAATTTAAGCTAGGAACAAGTCTAGGCCAAGAATCCAAGCTTTCCACCCTCTTCCTCTTCTTCTTTTCTTTTCTCTGCATAATTTTCTTTCTTTTGTTTTTATTTGAAGAACAGATAATTGTTTCTAAAATATTTATATATATCTAATATAAGGAGGACATGGCACATCCCTAAGTGAGGTGTGTGCTTGGTTGTCCCTACCAATTACATCATTAACTTCATTAATCTAGATTAATACTAATTAAACTAGGTTAGTACTAATTAGTCAACTTTAGGCCACTAATAACACTTAATCTTGATTAATGTCACTAATCACACTTAATTACCACTAATCTGAATTAAGTTTTCACAAAGCATGTGCAAGTGTCTAGTACATTAGATCAACACATTTAAGCACCTTGATTAAGTGTTCAAGAGCACACATGAGCATACTATGTTCAAAAAGGTATTTTTCTAAATATTATGCCCCTAAACTAAAGCATATTTGCAAGCATTTTTAATGTTAGAGAGGCTGATGAAACTCAAAACACTCAAACATGGAACAAAGCATGCATATGTCATGCAATAACATTAGAGGTGTTACATTATCAGCGCATATATATTCTCACAAAGAACCTTATGGCTTTTGCTTATTTGAATTGATTTGTATATCGTATCTATTTCATGAACAACCGAAGCCACCTTGCTATGATATATCATAGGCTATATCAACCGCTCAGGAATGAACACATGTTTCTTTATCTGTCCAAGAGTGCTTTATAGGCCATGTTTGGATTAGTGGGAATTGGATGTCTGGGAATAGTAAAAAGAGTGAAAAGAATGTTTTTGGCTTACCTATGAATGAGGTAGAGCCATTTATTTATAATGAAACGATATTACAAAATAGGAAACGAAACTATAAAGGCACTAAATCCGTGATTTACACAATCACAGATTTTATACACACTACTTTAATTACAATATTCTTATTTCCTAAATTCAACACTCCCCCCTCAAGTTGGTGTGAAGATATTCAACAGACGCAGCTTGCTAATGGATGAATGGAGTAATGTCAAGCCTATAGACTTGGTGAACATGTCTGCTAACTCTTGAGAAGAATAGACAAATGATGGACTCACAATACCAGTTCGAACCTTTTCTCGAATGAAATAGCGGACTTGTTGTCACAAATGATCAACCTCTATATGCTTAGTATGCTCATGTAGGATAGAATCAGAAGACAACATAATAGCGGACTTGTTGTCACAAAACAAAGTGGCAAGAGCAATCTCCTCAAATCCCAACTTTGCCAGAATAGAATGAAGCCTTAGAATCTCACATGTTCCCTGTGCCATAGCCCGTTACTCAGCTTCTACAAAAGACGTAGAAACAAATGCTTGTTTCTTACTTTTCCATGATATAAGATGATCACCATAGAAAGCACAAAATTCAGAAGTAGAATGCCTATTAGTTCTAGATCCTGCATAGTCAGCATCAGTGAAACAGGAGAATCTAGACCGAGGATTAGTTGTGAAGAATAATCTCAAGCCAAGAGAGGTTTTCAAATATTTCAAAATGTGATGAATCGCATTTTGATGGTCTGTATGAGGTGCATGCATGAATTGACTAACAACACTAACTGCAAATGTCAAGTCAGGTCTAGTGTTAGTCAAATAAATAAGATGCCCAACAAGACACTGATGCATGCCTGGGTCCCTTAGTAACTCGCTAGACTTTGATGTGAGCTTGACATTAGGATCCATAGGAGTAGAAGCAGGTTTACACCCTAACATTCCAGTTTCCTGAAGTAGATTTAGAGTGTACTTCCTCTAAGATAAGGAAATCCCCTTCTATGAATAAGCCACCTCAGTCCCTAGAAAATACTTGAGATCCCCCAAATCCCTTTTTACTTGATCAATGCCTACAAAATCATCATGTAACGACCGTAATTTTCAGGACCAATTAAAATCCAAATAAACCTCAAATTATAATAAATTTTCT